GTTTGTTTGCATGTTGTCTCCACCATTAGACTTCAAGTTCCATGAGGGCAGGGACTGTCTTTTGCCTCATTTTGTATCCTTAGTACTTAATGTAGTGCCTGGCATGTAGCAGGTGCTTGACAAATGTTTATTGACTAATTAACAATGTGCTATGGAAAAGCTGAGGTAGGAAAGACTGTGAAATCACCTCTGGCTTCTACGGGAAAAAGGTTGTAGGAAAGGAAGTTGGGGGAGAGACTTGAACCAAATAAGACTTGGAGGGGTCTGGATTAGTGGGGAAGGTCAGAAGATGAAATTGTGGAAAATAAATTTACAAAATTTGGAAGATATTGTAGAAAATTTAAATTACAACTTCCAGGCCCACTTGCTGGTCCAAATTCTATTTCTGAATCATCAGAAAAGCAAGATCAAGGACAATCAAGGAATATATAAAAGGGTTAGAGAGAATAAAGTAGATTAGAGAGGTACACACAAGAAGGGAAGTGTTCATCTTAAAAAGTAATACTTGGCTGTAAAAAGTTTCAACTAGATGCTCAGGGGTGAACTAGAAATACTATCACATAGTGTCAAGAAACAGGGCTGAAAAAAAAGAAAAATTAAATTAAAAATAATTTTCACCACTATGGTGTGAAGGACACATGTGTAGTGACTTGCATCAAGTGTGTGATGTTTGTATTTCTGCCATATCCAGGTGACTATTATCTGTGCACCAAGTACAGGCTGATCTTCCTGAAGGCGAAATAAATGTTGGGGCCCTGCTCTATAGAGAATGCTAATCTCAACGACAGTGTATGGGCCAAGCTGGAAGTAAGACCAGTGTTCAGGATGGGGAGGGATGCAGCAGAAAGCAATTCCCTTGGCTCTTGGACTCTGGGTCCTGGGCTACCTGCTCTGTGGTCTAAGGGTAGATGATGTGAGGCGGTAGCAGTGATTTGACCCACCAGACACATGCCACTTCTTGTTTCTTACAAGAGACTTCATTGTTTTAGCTAGGTTGGCTTGCCTGTCCCATTGGTGACAGTGAGTGGCAGCTGGTAGTGGTGGGGATAGTGGGTCCCTTCTCCACAGGATATGACAAAGGTAAGAGGGAGACACTGGAGTTTCTTAAGCAGAGGAGCGAAACAGTCAGACTTGTGCCTTAAGAAAATCACTGCAGAAACTGTTCGGAGGATGGCTTGGAGAGGACGGAGACTGCATGTAGGGAAGCCAATTAGAAAGCTATTGCTATAGTCCTGGTCAGAGGTGATAAGGGCCTAAACAAATGTATTGGCCATGTGAGTGGAAACAATGACAGAAAAGTGAGAAAAATTGTAAAGGCTGAACCAACAAGACTTGTCAACTGAATGAATATTTGCAGTGAGAAAAGTTAAAGGTGACTCTGAGAATAGGAACGTGGATGAATGGAAAGACAGATCACTGAGCCTGAAATCAAAAAGACTTATGTTCAAATCCAGCTTCAACCACTAACTACCCATATAACCCTGGGCAGACCACTTAATCTCTCTGTGCCTCCGTTTTCCTCAACTGTAAAATGGGGATTATAACAGCACCTAACTAAAATGGTTGTTAGGAGGATCCAGTGACACAATATTTGTAAAGCACTTCCCACAGGGCTGGCACAGTAGGTCCTATATAAATGCTTATTCCCTTCCCCCAACCTCCAATGCTTCAGAGAGGTTGAGAAGAATATGGATTGAAAAAGAGCTCTTTAGTCATTAAAAGATTATTAGTGACTTGTGAAAGAGTAGTTTTTGCTCTCTCAAGTGAAGAAACTTACAGTCAGATTGTAAGGGGTTGGTTGAGAAGTGAATGAGAGAAGAAATGAAGGCAACAAGTAACTGAAGCTCCCTGTACAGCTGTTTCCTCATCTGTAAGGAGACTAAACTAAGTGACCACTGATATCCCTTCTAGTTCTACATCTCTGGTCCCATGGTCTTAAGTGTAAACAGCTTTTCCTAGGAATTTGACTGTGAAAGACGGAAGATATAGGATGACAGAGTGTGAGGACATAGGTCAAGTGAAAGTTTTAAGGATAGGGGAAACCTCGGTATATCTGCAGGCAGAAAGAAGGGAAAGACTAACAGATAAAGATTTAAAGAGAAAAAGGATAACTGTGAGGGCAATCAGCTAGAAAATATATGACAGGATGAGGACAGTCAAATTTGGCTGGAACAAGAGTATGTGAAGGACAGCAATACAGTAAAAAATGGATTATGTGTGTATATACATGTACATATACACACATATCTATATCTATCGATATACCTATATAAATATATATATATATATATATATATATATATATATATATATATATATAACTATATGTGTGTTTGTGTGTGTGTGAGTGTATATGTATAAACAGACAATCCCAGAAATGGCCAAATGTTGATTTGTTTTTCTGAACCATACATATTTGTTACAAGAGGGTTTCTACTCAGGAGAAGGGCTGGGATAGCATATTGGTAAATAGTTACAGGTACACAGACACAGACACACACAAAAGATCCTCAATAACATATATATTTCAATGCACAGTAAACAAAAAAATGCAGAAGGGGCAGACACAAATAGGGCAGTTTTATTACTATCTTATTAAATTTAATATATATGCTGCTTAAAAAACAAACTATAGAACAGTAATTAGTTTTTTATATAAGCCTCTTTTTTTATATTGAAATGCTTCTTTGCTAATGATTAATTTAATAATAAAAAAGAAAGCTTTAATAAAAGATAGGAAGCCAGAAATGGAAATTAAGAACATAAAGTCAGTAGGAAGGCCTAGAAAGGACAATGTGATGGATGCAAGACAACATGTCAAGAAGGAAGGAGAAGCCAACAGTGCCCAATACTACCAAGAGGTCACATAGGATAAAGATGTTGGGAAAGTCTTTGAATTTATCAACAGAATGGTCATTAGTGACCTTGGTGAGAACTGCTGATGAAAAACATCATAAAATGCATTTTAAAGTAAAAAATAACTAGGGTTTGGTTTTGCCTATGACTTTCTTCCTTAGTACAGGAAACTCCCCCAACCAACAGAGACCAGCAGCTGTTCTGCAACTTATAGTGGTAAAGTCGCCCAAAGCACTGAGACATAAATTGATTTGCTCAGACTTACAGTATCAGTATGTCAAAGATGGGGTAAATATGTATAGTTACCTGCTATTTTTAATCATCCATTCTCCTCTAACAGATTGAACCGTAAGCACACATGAGTTTGTTTCTTCCATTTGTGGCATAAACTGTCTGGAGTCCAACCCCCAGTTTATTAATCCCAAAAGTTTGACTTGAAAACATCATATGGTCTATCAATTTTGCTAGTGTTTCTTTAAATAGCAACAGTTATTTTTCTGGTATGTCCTACTATATTTTGTAACACCACATTGGAGGACTCCATTTGTTGACTTTAAAAAAACTCTTTGAGCAAATCTCACCAGATATTTTTAACCAATAGAACCTTGTATGAGAAGGGAAAGGGAGTAAGAAGAAACAGTTAACAACAGAAATAGCTACAAGATCACTGCAACACTGTTTCCATCCCTGTAATTTGTTTTTCTTTCCTTCCCTTCTGTTCTTACTCTTAAAGGCATTCTTAACACTATGAGTAACAAAATACATAGGATCTGTGTATATTATTCTCTTTCCTCTTTTTCTTGGAAAGCTAACTCCTTAGCAAAAACCTAAATTTATCTCCTCAATTTACTAAATTTCTCAATGTCTAATATAATACTGTGCTTCACAATAGACAATAAATACTTGATGATAACATGTCAGAAAACTGAGAGTTGGAGATTCCTTCCTGAGCAAAAAACAACAGATTTTAGATGTACATTCATCTGGTTTTGGCATTTTCAACAGTCTATCATAATACTACATTTTATCATTGGCAAGTAAATGCAGAGTTGCCAACATGCCAATTTTTTTAATAGTGTAAAACACTGGAGGAAAGAATGTGAATAAGGTAAAATAATATTAAGTATATTTAGCTCCCACAGTGATAGTTAGCAGAGTAAGCATTTCAATGCATCACTTTATCCAAAATTTATCAAAATTATGTATATGGTATTTCTTAACTTTAAAGAATATGAGAAAGGGAAATGGTATATGACAAGTATAATTTGAAAATGCCTCTGCAATTGACTGTATCTCAGACTATTTTATTTTGAAAGCCACATTTAAGAAGTCTCATATTTACCTTAACCATGCTTTTCACTTCATTCTCTGATTTAATATTTATTATGTAAATTCTTTAAGAACATAAATCTAAGGATTTTCCACTCACTGCCTTCACCTCTTGCTTGACTACCCCTTGTGACCTCACAATTAGTCTCTAGATATTAAAATGCATAATCACGGAGAGAACTGTGATTTCAAAGTATCTGGGGTCATAAGTTGCTCTACACCAAATGGGAACAAAGTTAAAAGCCATTCAAAAATGATTTAAAGTAATAAAAAATTAATATTCTCAAATGGCTCAACCAAATAAGAGAAATATTTGTTATATGCATCATAACCTTCAAGTAAATATTCAAACTTTATGAACAATAGCACCCCACAACTTGATAAATCTTTCCTATTGATATTGGTCTATACCTGAACCTGAAATCTAATTCCTTCTCCTACTTTTAATCACCAATTTATTATATCAAGCCCAATAGATAAATATCTTCAATTTTATTTAAAATTTTGAAACTATTAGGCAAACTCTTCTTAAACAATGTTCCTTTTCCAATTACTTTATAAAGAAGCTTTTCCACCATGTATTATATTTTTAAAGAATTCTATTCAGAAATACCTGAAAATTTAGTATCCTAGATTATAATTATTTAACACTTCAACTAAGGTATATATATATATTGATATACATGTGCCACTTGGTTCTGCTTACAAATATTAACTTGATATTTGTATACTACATATTTTAATTCAATTCAATATAAAACATCATCATATTATACTATATTTGCATTTTTTAAGAATTAAGAAAATTAACATACCATATTTATAATGCTTGAATGGGGGTGGGAGGCCTGTCCTTAAAGGGACATCTACAAGAGAAAAAGTTAAAATGAAGAATATTTTTTTACAAATGCATTATCAGTCACTGAAAAACTTTTGAACAAACAAAATAAATGCAGCTAGAATAAAAAAGGCAAGCTTGATAAGGAAAACATTTTTTCATCAAATATCTCTAATGAGGTTCTGATATCCAAGATATATATATATAGATAATAACACAAATATATAAGATTAAAAGCCATTATAAGATTAAAAGCCATTTCTCAATGGATGAATGGTTAAAGCATATGAATAAAAAATTCTCAAAGAATTAGAAACTATTAACAATCATATTAAAGATTGTTCCAAATTACAAATAATGAGAAAAATGCAAATCAAAACTAACTCTAAAGTTTCACCTCACATCTAGCAATTTGGCAGACAGAAATGTAGAAGACAAAAGATAGAAATTATCAGTATTAGAGGGGTTATGAAAAGACAGTGGGTAGAGTTATTAATCAGTTCAACTGTAATAGAAACAATATCCTAACCCCCCAAACCTCACACAGGTCAGGCTAGTTTTTCCTTAAAAGGCAGACCTAACTGTCACAGGGAACTGTAACAGGCCAATGGCATCATTTTCTAGTTGCCTGATAACAAAATAGCCACAAGAACTCCAGGGTTCTCTGATGCTTAGTAGATGAGCTACAACGGGCCACTCAGAAGCAGGGAAGATTCATTCAGTTGAACCTTCTTGGTATATTCTCAATGCATCTTTCTCACTTATCCTTCTGCTATGGCTTAAGTCCTTTTGCTAACTGCTGAACGCTGCATGAATGTTTCATTTCATTTGCATATCAAACATAACCTATCAGGGGACTGATGAGCAAGGTACCCAGTCTAAAACATCAACTATTCTGGAAAGCAATTTGGAATTATGCCAAGAAAATTACTAAAATGCCCCTGCCCTTGGACCCAGAGTTCCCACTGCTACACATGTATCCCACAAGGAAATCAAAGGCAGAAAAATCCTATATATATACCAAAATATTTAAAGCAGCTATTAGGGGTTGAAGAGGCAAGGGAGGTGTAACAATGAGCTGGAAACACAATAGGTACCAATCATTTGTGAAATGGCTAAAGAAATTATGGTATATAAATGTAACAGAATATTATTATGCCAATAAGAAATGAAAAAATAATAAAGAATTCAAAGAAGCCTGTGACAACTTACTATACAGATGCAGAAAGAAATAAGCCAAAGCAGAACAATGTAATAAGCAATGGAAATGGAAAAATATAAAACTAAACTAAACACTGTCTAAACAAAATGACCGTGTCTGGCTCCACACAGAGAACTGACAAAATGTACTTTCCTCTCTCACTGCAGAAACAGGCAATTCACTGTAGGCATAAAATAGCATATAATGAACATAAAAGATGTGTTGTATTTCAGTCATTTCAATCCTCATGACCCCATTTAGGGTTTTCTTGGCAAAGATACTGAAGTGGCTTGCACTTCCTTCTCTAGCTCATTTTACAGACGAGGAAACCAAGGCAAACAGGGTTAAGTAACTTGCCCCGGGTGATATAACAACTAAGTATCTGAGGTCACATTTGAATTCAGGAAGATCCTGACTCCCGGCCCAGTGCTCTCTCCACTGCACCACCTACCTGCACTGCATAGTTTTACTAAGGTTTTTTTTTTAATCTTTATTATAACGGATAGGCTTGCTGCATAAGGGAGCCAATAGGGATATATTTGGAAAGGAATATGATATTTTTTAAAAAGACATCAAAAAATTTTACTGAATTCATAACAGATATATTCCCTCTTATTAATTCTTTCACTAAATGCCTAACTTGCTTTTAAAAATAAGTATTTTAAAAATATGTATAATATGTATATATACATATATAACTTACCAAAAACAACAGTTTACCTCAATAATCTTTTTGCTCTCATTTGTACAAATTTATGCCATAGCATAACTACAGAATGTAATCACAGCCTCACAGAAACTAAAAAATTTGGAAGGGTCCTGAGAGACCACTTAGTACAACTTGTACTTGAATAAGAATCCTCTCTATGACATGCCTCAAAACTATTTTGCTTACAAAATCTGGGGGACAAAATACTCTCGTCTTCAGTGAAAGAGAACCCCACCACCTCCCAAAGCAAACTATTCCAGTCTAGGACGGTGCTAATTAACTGGATGATTTTCCTTAAATCAAACCTAAATTTGCCTCTTGGAAAATTCTATCTCTTGCTCCCAGTACTGTTAGAGGTAACACAAACTGGTCCAACTAATCTGAAAACAATTTGGAATTTTACCAAGAAAATTATTAAATTGTACACACTCTTTGACAGAGCAGTAACACTACTTGGCATATATAAGTAGGTTAGGAACAAAAGGAAAAATCACATGTATTTTTAAATGGCAAAAAAAAGAAAAGAAAAGAAAACAGGTACCCATGGATCAGGGAAAGGCTGAATTGTGGTATATAAATTTAATAGAATAATAATACTGTGCTGCAAAAAATGATGAATAGAAAGAATCCAGGAAAAAACTTAGGAAGGCCTATAAAAAGAACAGAAAAGGAAACAAATTTGCTTGATGACCACACTCAAGTACAACCTAGTAATACAGCTAAAGTAGAACTTCCTAGAATGATCATAGGATATCAGATAAACGAATAGACATGTCGATATATCTTTTATATGACAGCTGGTGTTCGTCAAATGTTACACCAAAATAAGTTCCTCATCATATACTGGTGAATCTGAGATCTCAAACAAATCATTTTTTCTTTCTCTCTTTTTTGTTGCGAGGCAATTGTGGTTAAGTGACTTGCCCAGGTCACAGCTAGTAAGTGTCAAGTGTCTGAAGCCACATTTGAACTCATGTCCTCCTAAGGTCAGGGCCAGTGCTCTATTTACTGCGCCACTTAGCTACTCCTGGCAAATCTTTCTACCACTATAAATATCAGTTACCCCACCTGTAAAATGTGGCATTTGGGACTAAACAATACCCAATCCCTTCTGGTTTTAACTTTTTCAGTCTAAGATGAAGAAACCTGGACAACAGGACAGAAAAGTTGGATTCTTCATTGGTTGACCATCCATACCACTAGAATATCAGTCTGTGTTAAGCTGGAAAACTCCATAGCTCTTGTCCTCCCAATGTCCTTCATTGTATATCTAACACAATGAGAATATAAATTCACTAAAAACAGAATTAATGCTCTTGTGCTTATAAGAACTTTATTATTTCTAGTATAGAGACATGACTTTTTTTAAAGCAAATGACAGTTTCTAGCAAATCACTGGGGTTCCTCTCAGTAAACTTTGTGCCCCAAATGATTAATGAACATCTCTTACTGGACCTGCTGGCATGCTCATTTTACTTAGCTGTTGACCATTCCACAGACATACTCTGCTTTGAGGAAGAAAACCAATAGGTAGGGGAATGCTAAGCCTCCTAACAAAGCCATTTCCATTGGCTCTCTAACATTCCCTGATGGGAGGTTATCCATTTTCTGTCTAAATATTCTAAGGATGGAGAACTCACAACTTCACAAGCATGTCCCCTTCTATTTTCAGATCACTGTCAAATTTTTTTTAATATTGAATCAATAGTCTGCCTGTAATATCTACTAGCCATTAGTTCTAGATATGTCCTCTAGAATTATGGGAAAAAAAACAAAAAAGTACTCTTTCCACACTGTCAACTGCCAAATGTCTGAAGACTATTATCATGTAACCTTCCTAAACCTTTTCTTCTCCTAGTTCAATATCAAAATGTCCTTCAACTGTTTCCTCATATATGACATGGCTTCAAGTCCCATCATCATCCCTAACAATCCTCCTTTGAATGTTAGGATCACAGAATCATAGACCTTAGAGACAGGAGGGACCTCAGAGATCGCCTACCTTTCAGTTTCAGAAATGAGAAAACAGAGACTAACTTGCTCAAATTCACACAGGTAGTAAATACTGAACACAGGTCTTCTAACTCCAGAGGCAGGGCTCCTTCCACTGTGCTACCCAGCATCCTACCAACTTTTCACTGTGCCTTTTAAGAAGTCCTATTCAAATCAAACAGAAGTGATATTTTAACCAGTGTACAGAATAGCAAAGTTATCATTTTTCTTGTTCTGGACACCATACTTTTGTTAATGTGTACTAAAACCAGACAGCTTCTTAGGTAACACATTATACTGGTGACATATTGACTCCCAAATCAGAAATTTCTGTCTAGGTTAACATATTTTTTTAAAAAGAGAAGAAAACCAAATCACTAGTATCAAAAAAGAAAAAGAGTAAATATGTCACTAATGAAAACCAAATTAAAGTAATTATTAGGAGTTATTTTACCTAATTATATGCCAATAAATTTAACAATTTAAATTAAATGGAAGAATATTTACAAAAATATAAACTTCCTAGACTAACAGAAGAGGAAATAGAATACTCAAATAAATCTATTTTAGAAAAAGAAATTGAACAGCCCATGAATGAGCTTCCTAAGAAAAAAGCATCTGGGCCAGATAGATTTACAAGTGAATTCTACCAAACATTTAAAGATCAACTAATTCTGATGATAATAAATTATTTGTAATGAAAGGCAAAAAAGAAGTCCAACCAAACTTCTTTTATGAAACAAATATGGTGCTGATACCTAAACCAGGAAGAGCAAAAACAGAAAAAGAAAATTAGAGACCAATTTCACTAATGAATATAGGTGTAAAAATCCTAAATAAAATACTAGCTAGGAGACTACAACAATAAATCACAAAGATTATACATTGTGACCAAGTGGGATTTATACCAGGAATGCAAAGATGGTTTAATATAAGGAAAACTATTAACACAATTAATTAAGTCAATAATAAATGTAACAAAAAACACGATCATATCAATAGATGCAGAAAAAGCATTTGACAAAATACAATACTCATCCTTATTAAAACATTTGAAGGGGCAGCTAGGTGGCACAGTGGATAAAGCGACGGCCCTGAAGTTAGGAGGATCTAAGTTCAAATCCAG